GACCTCTTGCCCATTGCTGCATGTCATTCCCTCTCCCCTTTTCCTGTCTATCTTGCGCTGTCCTGTTAAATAAAAGAAAACAAAAGCCCCAAAGAATTATACCACAGGCAGTCCTGTACTGTAGTTAAAGGATCGGTGTGTAGGATTTTGTTGTATCTAGTGCTGAAGTTGCTGATTGCAACCATTTAAATAGCCCTGACTTTCCAAGTGTGTAGAAGAAACTATAGTGGCTGTGATACTCTCGAAAACAGCGACAGGCCCTATCTAGAGCCAGTGTTTGGTTTGTGATGTCACCCATTGGTTTGGAGTACCATTTTGAAGAATGGCAGTCTTTTTTTTTCAAACCTAAAAATAAATAATATTATTATTCCTTAAGTCTGTGGTCTTACAAGCATCTACAGCTTCCTTTATGGCAAAAGTACGGTATGAAGTACGCTTATTCTATGGAAGCCCATTTCCGCCAATGTGACAAAAAAAAAGATTCTGTTAAGTCATTATAATTAGAAACCTTCGCAATATTTTTACTTACCATCTCAAAATAATTATTTAGTATTGCCAAACTAATATATTATCTGATTATCTACAGTCATAACAGGGTTCCCACTCATTTTAAGAAATCATTTTCCACAGTCCAACAGTTTCCTTGACAATACAAAACAGCACTTGATGTTGACAAATGATAACTTGATGTTGACAAATAATAACTTGATGTTGACAAATGATAGGCCCAGTATTTTCACATCTAACTCCAGTTTTAATTATCCTTTTTTACTCCACATTAGCTTGCTTTCATGTGTTCTCACCAGAGATATTTTTTCTGCAAAGTAGTACAGTTTACTACAGTTTTCCTCTAACCTAGGTTTATGTAGACGATCTAAGTGAGGGGCTGAGTGAGGGGCAAAAACACAATACTATTATTTCCTGGATATTTAGTCATTTTAATCAATTTCCAGGTGTTTCCAGGACTGGAAAACAAGTCTCTAAATATCCCAAAAACATTTTGTAAAGATTTTTTTATTGACAGATGCTCACTTTACAATGCAGTTTCAATATATAGAAATTATAATAATAATAATAAGAAGAAGAATACACATACTTAAATATGTATATTTCTAATGAACCAAAAACAAACAACAAACCCCCCAAACCCCAGAACCTATAATAATAATAATAATTACAAAAATAATAACAATGTCAATAATAATAACAATAATGATAATGACAATAATAATAACAATGACAGTGATAACAATAAAATAAAATGAAATAAAAGTAATAAAGAAATATGTCTAAATATTTATATATATATATATATATATATATATACATAACACTTGCCAACAAGAAGTAAAAGTGCAGCATCAACTATCAAATTCTACAAAACCCAACCACACCCTCCTCCCTTGTATGGTTCTCGATTTCCTTTTACTTATATACATACACACATGCATATATACATATAAGCACAGATGTAGAATGTTCACATGCGTGTACATCAATGAGGAAGACCTAAACTGTATTAATAGGTTGAAGTTGATCCAGGAAGAGATACACGTTTGAAGTCTGTTATTTTCAAAGAGGGCAGAATGCTGATGAAGAGCCCCCAAGTGTTCTGAAAGGCTGCAGGTTTCTTTCTTACATTATACAATATCTTTCCAGGCGTGCAGTAAGACACAAGTTCATTAATCCAGTGCCCTGATGAAGGTGAATCTTCAGATTTCCAATTGGTTCGAATGCATTTTTTCATTGCAGTAAGAGTTCACATTAACAGAACTCGTGTTCCCCAATATCCATAATTTTGGATCCTGCTCAATTTGAGATCCTATTATCTTTGAGGTTAATGCAATACTATGTTTCTAAAATTCTTCTATAATGTGGCAATTTCACAGCACACGTAGGAGATCACCTTTTGACATTTTACATCTCTGAAACATAGGGGAAATGTTGTCAATTTTATGTAACCTGAGGGTAGTGTTATATGTTCTATGGAATATGGTGAATTTAATTTGTCTGTGTTTCGTGGAAAATAATACAAACTGTGCCTGCTCCAGCAGAGGATTCCAGCACAACCTAAATCCGTTTCCCATTTTTATTATATGGATGTTTTTTCATTGGCAGGCAATTTGCTATTAATGATACCATATATAGAGGAGGTTAATCTTCTAGTTGTTGTACATAACCTATTGTACAGGTAAGTTTCAAAAGGAGTTTCTTTTGGAGCTCAGTCTATCTGGAATTTTAAAATGTGTATAGTATTCTAGAGTTCTTTGTGAGTGTGGACTACATTTAAAGGGGTAGTCTTCATCTCATATTGTTCTATTGAGAGCCATCTGACCTCACTTTTCTCCGGGTGAAGCCAAAGCCAAAGTGGTCGGAACTGGGAAGCAAGATAATAGTTCCTAAAATTTGATAGATTAAGCCCCCCCTTTGAATATGGGGCCCGTAAAGAAATTAGTTTAACCCTAGGAGTTTTCTTTTGCCATAAAAAGGGGGTCATAGATTTATTAAGTTCTTTAAAGAAGCTCTTGGGAATTTTTATAGGAGTACACTGAAATAAGTAAATTCATTTACAGTGGAAGACGCTCTTTAAATAACAGTCCATCTGTTTTCAATGCATATACCCAAATATTTAAAACCATTTGTACACCATTTCAGTGGATCAGTGACAGATCTAATATTGCTATCCTGTACATTTAGTGGCAGTATCTCTTCTTTTTAGTGTAATTTAATTTTGAAACGGCACTATATTGTTTTAGACTTTGCAATAATAGGGGTACTGATGTGAGCAGGTCAGTTATATATAACAAGAGATCATCAGCATAAAGGGATAGTTTGTGTTCACTTGTACCAAATTTAATTGGTTAGAATGAATGGCAATGGCTAATGGTTCGATGGCAAGTGCAAAGAGCAAGGGCCTTGATGAAGAGAAGGTGTTAGAGAGAACCTTGTTTGTTAGAATATTGGCTTTGGGTGCATTAAAGAGTGTTTTAATATAGTTGATACATTTTTTTCCAAAGTCCATAGCCTCAGGCATTCAAAAGAAAAAACTAGGTTAAATTTTGGGGAATGCCTTATTAGCATATTTAGATATTATTAGCATTGGTGTTCTTTTTTTTGAGCCACATCTACTATGTGTCACCACACGTTGTCTGATCCGTACCTATTATTGTGAAACCTATTTTTTGATCAACATGAATTATCTTCGGTATACTATCTTCCAGTCTGCGAGCAATTAGGTTGGATTATATCTTGTAATTTGCATTTAGGAGACTCAAGGACCTGTGTGAGTCACATTTCTGTTTGTCCTTGCCTGATTTTGGGAGCAGTGTGAATGTTGCCACCTCCAATGATTCTGGTCATTTGAAGCTTCTTTAATCATATTTGTATGAGGGGTCAGTAACTTCTTTGAGAAGGCCTTAAAATACACTTTTGGGAAGCTGGAAGACCATACAAAACCCCAAAACAATAACCTAAAAACCTGCCTAATAGAACCCCAGTAACAAAACAACATTATGTAGGTAACTCTTTCACACAAGTCGTGTAACACAACAATGGTGAACTGGCCACTGCTGAAAACTGGTTGGCCACTAGAACACTTTAAATGTTAACAGATCTGAGATAGGAACCTAACAAGTAAAGGAAAAAGGCACTGGCCAAATATAAATGTAATCCTGTTTTACAGTTGGTGTGTAAATAAATATCAAAATGTTAAAATGTTATAAATCTTCCAGGACAATATATATTATTTCAAGGATATTTGGGTAATTTAAATAGATTTCCAGGTGTTTCCAGGACTAGAAAACAAGTCTCTTAATGTCCCAATGTCCAAGGTCTTGCAGGATGTGTGGCAACCCTGAATAACTACAGTGGTAGAGTAAAAGTCTGTATAAGACTCCTATTTCCATAAATGTTACAGTCACACCAGAATATTCACGTGCACTTTCTAGAGCAGTAGGGGTCGCCAAAGCTACATGGGGGGGTCGCAAGGCCTTCTTGATTTTAAGGTGCGCTAGAAAACTTCAATATACACAGTATCCCTAAATGTCAGCATTGGTTCACTTCTGAGAACAAAAGAAAAGTCAATTGTCTAACAGAACAATGGAATGGCATCAGCGACAATGAAAACAATGAATTTCTCGAAAAAGAAGCCATTAGGTCTGTATGACTGTTATGAAATATTAAATAATACATAATACAGACAGAGAATTGAATAATAATAAAGTTCCCTAAACAGGAAACAAGCTGCTCAAAATTCACCCAAATCACTGGTTTTACACAAACTGCTTGCAGTTACTGAGTTCACTGTTTGGACCCATTGTACAGTTTTGGATATAATATATAATGTACATATTATAAGTCACTGAGTCAGGGCTCGTCTGTTTACTCAATGATAGAAAAGGGCTCCCTGAAGGAAAAAGGTATTTTCCATCAGGTGGTGCTTAGTTGAGTCTGAGTGTACAGTGATATCTTGCTATAGCCCACCTGTTTTGAGGTTAGTATGAGTCATTTCATCGGATATTATCTTATGTTGTCAGTCAGGCCTTCAACAGTTGTTTGCAGTTTATGGATGTGACAGAATAAAAACTAAATGACAACACATCCTGAGCTTGTGTTCAATGCATAGGCCTTACCAAAACACTGAAACATTGAGGCCAATAAACACGAACTGGGATTACACAACTGTTGTTTACCCACGAACAACAACCTGTTCGACACATACAGAGAGCAGGCTCCTGCTTGCCAGCAACACCGTGGACATCATCATCATCATCATCATCCTCCTCCTCCTCCTCCTTAAGCTCACTGCGGTGTTATTCTGATGGAAACATTTGCAGACAGACAGGTGCTGCTAGAATCAGCCCGAGCATTGGAACCAGCAGCGGAGCGGGCTGAACCTCCGCCCGTCTGCTCTCCACACACACGAACCACCAAAACACGGCTTTCCGCTCTTTTTTTACATGATGTCACACACTGGCATGTGAATAAACGTCTCGTCTTACCGGTCCCCTCCTCTTCAGAGAGATGTTCTTCCACAGCAGGAGGTGCAGCTGGTGCAGGAATCCCATTTTGCCTCCCACTTCTTCAGCTTCAGTATGTCCTAAATTTTACCAAATTAGCATACCGGCGGTGGCCTGTGACTGGATTTAAATAACCGGGGAATTTCTATCCCGTTCCCAGGCATCCCGTCCGAGCCTGTCACGGTGCTGAAATGTGTCGGCCTTGGCTAATAATGAATATTACTCAGTTTGGACCAAGGAATGCTTATTTGCCAGCGACTGGCGGTGTCAGTGGGAACGGGACTGTTTGTGTTCCGTCTGTCATCCTCCGTGTGTCGGTGGAGCACCGGCTAGCTTCTCCCGCGGAGTCCGTTCAGTGCAATGTTCCGAGCTGGAGCAAGAAGCCAGTGAGGATAGCTCGTGTAAAGCTAGCCAGAGTAATTCAACTGCACACTTCCGGTCTGGCCTTTAAAAACAAAAGCCCTCCGGCCAAACTGACGTAGGGGGGAAAGTAAGTCATCATAATGAGTGGGAAACGTTCTCAAAATATTGACTTAACATTAATATCTCAAAATAATGAGAAACTTTCTCAATGATTTGACTTAACGTTATATCTAAAAACTAATATATATATATATATAATATACAGAGCGTTCTCTGTAGCTGCCCCCTCCCTCTGGAACTCTCTCCCCAAACACATCCGTGACTGTACCGACCTTCCAACATTCAAATCACTGACAAAAACACACCTTTTTAAAATTGCTTTTAATGTTTAGCTTAGTCTGATGTGTTTTTAATGTTTTACTATTTGATGTTGTTTTGCTGCTTTTATGTTTTTATGTAAAGTGTCTTTGAGTATTTAAAAAAGCGCTTATAAATAAAATGTATTATTATTATTAATATGGAAGTACATCAATGCATCAACGCCAATGTGGTGGAATAAGTCATTATAATGGGAAACCTTCTCAAAATAATGACTTAATATCTCAAAATAATGAGACCAAGCCAATTTGGCCAAAAGGGACTTCTATACCTTATACCTTCTTACAAATTAGGAGGGCTTTTGTTTTTAAAGGCCAGACCGGAAGTGTGCAGTTGAATTACTCTGGCTAGCTTCACACGAGCTATCCTCACTGGCTTCTTGCTCCAGCTCGGAACATTGCACTGAACGGACTCCGCGGGAGAAGCTAGCCGGTGCTCCACCGACACACGGAGGATGACAGACGGAACACAAACAGTCCCGTTCCCACTGACACCGCCAGTCGCTGGCAAATAAGCATTCCTTGGTCCAAACTGAGTAATATTCATTATTAGCCAAGGCCGACACATTTGAGCACCGTGACAGGCTCGGACGGGATGCCTGGGAACGGGATAGAAATTCCCCGGTTATTTAAATCCAGTCACAGGCCACCGCCGGTATGCTAATTTGGTAAAATTTAGGACATACTGAAGCTGAAGAAGTGGGAGGCAAAATGGGATTCCTGCACCAGCTGCACCTCCTGCTGTGGAAGAACATCTCTCTGAAGAGGAGGGGACCGGTAAGACGAGACGTTTATTCACATGCCAGTGTGTGACATCATGTAAAAAAAGAGCGGAAAGCCGTGTTTTGGTGGTTCGTGTGTGTGGAGAGCAGACGGGCGGAGGTTCAGCCCGCTCCGCTGCTGGTTCCAATGCTCGGGCTGATTCTAGCAGCACCTGTCTGTCTGCAAATGTTTCCATCAGAATAACACCGCAGTGAGCTTAAGGAGGAGGAGGATGATGATGATGATGATGATGTCCACGGTGTTGCTGGCAAGCAGGAGCCTGCTCTCTGTATGTGTCGAACAGGTTGTTGTTCGTGGGTAAACAACAGTTGTGTAATCCCAGTTCGTGTTTATTGGCCTCAGTGTTTCAGTGTTTTGGTAAGGCCTATGCATTGAACACAAGCTCAGGATGTGTTGTCATTTAGTTTTTATTCTGTCACATCCATAAACTGCAAACAACTGTTGAAGGCCTGACTGACAACATAAGATAATATCCGATGAAATGACTCATACTAACCTCAAAACAGGTGGGCTATAGCAAGATATCACTGTACACTCAGACTCAACTAAGCACCACCTGATGGAAAATACCTTTTTCCTTCAGGGAGCCCTTTTCTATCATTGAGTAAACAGACGAGCCCTGACTCAGTGACTTATAATATGTACATTATATATTATATCCAAAACTGTGCAATGGGTCCAAACAGTGAACTCAGTAACTGCAAGCAGTTTGTGTAAAACCAGTGATTTGGATGAATTTTGAGCAGCTTGTTTCCTGTTTAGGGAACTTTATTATTATTCAATTCTCTGTCTGTATTATGTATTATTTAATATTTCTTAACAGTCATACAGACCTAATGGCTTCTTTTTCGAGAAATTCATTGTTTTCATTGTCGCTGATGCCATTCCATTGTTCTGTTAGACAATTGACTTTTCTTTTGTTCTCAGAAGTGAACCAATGCTGACATTTAGGGATACTGTGTATATTGAAGTTTTCTATCGCACCTTAAAATCAAGAAGGCCTTGCGACCCCCCCATGTAGCTTTGGCGACCCCTACTGCTCTAGATAGTGCACGTGAATATTCTGGTGTGACTGTAACATTTATGGAAATAGGAGTCTTATACAGACTTTTACTCTGCCACTGTAGTTATTCAGGGTTGCCACACATCCTGCAAGACCTTGAACATTGGGACATTTAGAGACTTGTTTTCTAGTCCTGGAAACACCTGGAAATCTATTTAAATTACCCAAATATCCTTGAAATAATATATGTTGTCCTGGAAGATTTATACTGTATTTCAGCCCCTCACTCAGATCGTCTATTAAACCTAGGTTAGAGGAAAACTAGTAAACTGTAGTCAAATCACTGCAGACTTAAAAAAAATCATCTCTAGTGAGAACAGTCCCATAAACGCTGACCACCTACCTGTCATGAACCTACATCACTTCATCATGAACTCTTCATCATTAAAAAAGGAGCGTTAAATGTGGAAATACTGGGCCTACCACTAGATTTTATGACCATTTGTGAGCAAGTGCTGTTCTGTATTGTCAAGGAAACTCCTGGAAAATGATTTCTTAAAACGAGTGGGAACCCTGTTATGACTGTAGGATTTAGGTCATCATCAGACAGGATAATATTGTTTGCAGGACTGAGTGGTCAGGTGACAGCATTTGCTTGTTAAATATATTTTTTGGAGCTTTTTGCCTTTATTGGAAATGACAGCTTGAGATAGACAGAAAAGAGGGAGAGAGAGAAGGGATGACATGCAGCAAAGGACAACAGGTCAGACTCGAACCCGTGGCCGCTGCAGTAAGGACTCAGCCTCCGTACAGCATCTTAAAGGACCAGTGTGTAGGATTTATTGGCCTCTAGCAGCGTAGTTGCAGATCACAACTCTTGCTTCATCCTCCACTTCCTTCCCGGAGGAGAAACTATGGTGGCCATGCAATGCACGACAAACACAAATATCTACAGCCAGTGTTTGGTTTGTCCCTTTCTGGGCTGCTGTAGAAACATGGTGGCTCAACATGGCGGACTCCACGGAAGGCGACACACTGTAGGTAAAAACTCATAGAAAGGTAACAGAAACATAATGGTACCATTAGTAATGATATTGAGTCGTTTTCTAAAAAAAGAAATTTCAATATTCTCTGATTGTAGCTTCTCCAAGGACATCACCTTGGGCTTTGGGAAACACTGATCAACATTTTTCACCATTTTCTGACATTTTATGGACCAAACAACTAATGGATTAATCGAGAAAATGATCGAGAGACTAATGGATAATGACAATAATCGACTAATGATTATTATTGCAGTCCTACATAGTTGTGTCATCGTGTGATTGAAGTTTTAAACATGGTGATAAAGGGGGGTTAGTGGTTAGAAGGACTGAGAGACCCAGTTGAAAGCTCTTGATAAATTCTAGGAAGTAGACTTTGAGTTAATGTTTCAACCATGCCTCCAGTTTGGAATGCAGGCTGTTAAAAATGATTAAAATGGACATTATTGTTTTCACAAGGTGAGTAGTTCTCCCTGTGATTGACATGTCAAATTGGTGGAGTAATCCCCAATTTAGTAACTTAAGCAGAATATACTGAGGACACATCGGTTAGTGAAGGACAGGACCTCTAAAAGAAAAACCAATGCTATGATGAATTTTAAAATATACTCGTATCACGATGAAACCAGCCAAGCAACCGAGGACTTACAGGTAATTATGCCTACCTGTGTTCATGTTTTCCTGTTAAGAGACTTCTTGTGTTCGTGCAAGCAGTGACCGTCCTTTATCAGACGCAAAGACGGAGGCTGTTCCAAAAACCCTCTCAGGAAATCAGCGTGGATGGTTATGTACAACTAAAGTTGTTTTATTGCCTAAACTTAACCAAACCAAAGCTAACTAAAGCTGCATGGATTGATTATTGTGGCAATTTGGGGGCAGTACAAGCTGTAATTATTGGAATTGTTATTTCTTTTATAAAATTGCAAATGAAATGAATTCATTTAAAAGTGATTTGGCTCTGATGTTCCCGCCTGTCTCTGTCCTTAATCACTGCTTTGTAGTCTTGCTGAGTGACCCGCCCACTGCACTGTCTGATTGGTTACACATCACGAGTAAAAGCCTGTCAGCACTGAAGGATGCTGTTCCACATTTACCCAAGTACAGTACTTGAAAGATTAAACATTTTACTGCAAATGTTCGTCCAAATATCTGTTATTGTTATGTTAGCAAACAGCAGACACACAGAGGAACATAAGCATTCACTAGTAGTCGTGTCTGTGTCCATCCGCTGAATGTTAGTCCAATATTCACTCTCCTTTGGTCTCCTCCAACTCGTGATAAAATATCTGTCTCTTCAGCTGCTAAATGCTCCACTGTGTTCACCAGTTAGTCTCTCACTGTGTCTGTGTGCTGTTTGTGCTGAGCAGGTAGTGTACAGTGGGTTCCTCGGAGCTTTTTCACTGGACAACAACAATGAGACTGAGCATTTTGTTTGGATGACTTGTTGGAATGACGTTGGTGAAAGACTTGCGTAGCGTGACAGAAGCCTTTCTTTGTTCAGAATGGAAACATGGACTGTGCCACCAGTGTTTCTGTTTCTGACCTGACCTTTGTCTGACTTATTTTTTTGCCATGTTTCTGCACTGCACTTCCCAGAAGTCACTTGTCTTTCAAACAATGTTGCCAGTAGCGAGCTCAAGTCCTGATGTCACCTTTGGTCTAGCTTTTTGTTTCTTTCATCTATATTTCTGAAAACATGCATTCCGGCTGTGTTATTCATATTCTATCGACATTACATCTCCCATGAAACATTTTCAGCACATATTCACCATTGTAACGGTTTCCCCCTTCACCTAAATCCAACATTTTGTAAAGAAGCTCATAAAAAGAACTTAAG